ACTGAAGAGAGACAGTTAAAACGTACACATGCCCAGCTAATCCATGTTTTCACTTGCAGTACGATTACTTACAACTTGCCTGCTTAAATGTTCCCATCTTTCCAGAACAACAAGGCAGCAAGATGCTTTTCATCTCCTTGCTAGAAATGAAGCTTAGCCAAAAATTTAGCTTCAGGTATGGATTTACGGAACTCGGGTGCTTCTTTGGGCTTCTGCCTCTCACCATGCAGCATTGTGCCATTGCTCTAAACATCTACGCTTGTTTCCTATTTGTTTCAGCATCCCTTTTACTGGTATCTCCAAAAACCTTGAAGTTTGTTCCAGCAGATCACAATGTTTGCCTAGCTTTCACTCCTCTCTTACTTTTCACACTCGTCTAATACAGAACCCTCCTTCCCACCCAGAGAATCTTCTCCAGTACTATAGCCTATATCAGGCTTCTGTGTTTTTCATACCAGCTATCCAGCAGTTTTCACATTTCATCTGCTTTACCCTGCTCTACTGCTGTTATTTATGCCTATAACCTGATCCATTCCCTCTCCACTTTTTCTTTTGAGAACTGAGTTGAGAATATCATTTGCTGAAGAGTGCTGAATCATGGGAAGTGGGACGGTGTGCTTGAAGTACTGTGGGAAAAGCAGCTTGCCTCTAGATGTTGAAAGAATTTACAGAAAAATGTTATAAACATCAGCAAGACTAACACAGAGCAGAACTAGGGATCTTTAGCATCTAACCACAAAAGCATGACCACTGGACCTTAAAGTGCATGAAGAAAAAACTCCCAGGAACACCCAGCTATGAATCAGTGCATATTGCACTTCACTCCCTAACGTCGTCCAAGTGCCAATACTGAGGGGTAATGAGAGAAGTCAGACTCTGATCTTGGCTGCTACAGGCTAGATGCAGAGTTCCAGTGCAGCTTCTCTGTTTCCACCCCTGCTGTGGCAGAGATCAGAATTGGGCCCAAATACTCTCCCAGCAAGCGGTAGTGAGACACAGAAGTGTACCGAGGCAGCCATTTGACTAGCACTGAACACAGTCTCACGCTATTTCATCCCCTTGCCTCACTGCTGTTTCCCTGCTGGGCTTCATTAGCGTCAGCAGAACGTGATAAATGTGCCTGTCAAACCTAATATTACAATTTTGCCATCAAAACCCAATGCTCCAGAACCACCTACGACCTGCTACTAAATGCCAGCCTACTGCCCTTCTTATCCTCAGGTAGCCCAGGCCCCTTTTCTCGTCCCAGAGGGTCACAGAAAGGTTCTGGAAGACAATTTTCTCTCTCCACCCGTCAGAGATCAGTGAGCATTAAAGAGAGCAGGTCAGATTAGGCAAAGGCAAAGTGCAGTCTCGGGACCCCAGAAAGGAGTGGCAATAGCACTGAATCCCTCTTATCGGCCTTTTCAGTGCCACAGAAGGTGTCGAGGGAGAAGGAGGTAATATTTCAAGGCAGAGAAGTTCTTCAACATGAATATTTAGCTAGTCATCTATATTCTCCATGATGAATCAACATTCTCACCGCTTCTGCTTGTCTCCCATGTTGAAATAAAGGGTAGTCACTTTTGGCTACTGTTGCTCTACCTGTGTGAGCCTGGAGGCAGCAACAGCCTGGCACTCTGTAGGGGTGTCCACCTGCAGCGAGGAAAATTCCTTGTCCATTTTCCAGTCAGGTCAGGCATGAGTCTGCTCTATCCATTTCTAATATATTAGCCTCACTGTAGGACTGGTGAGCTCAGAATCAAGGCCAGCTGGCAGAGCAAGCTGAGAAGCTCCAACCTGCCCAGGTGGACATCTCTCATGTGAGCGCTCCTGAGGAAAATCATCAAGTCTGCGGTATCAGCATTGATTGTATCAGCAAATGAACAGGACAAACAAGATAATAGGAGGGGCCAGGCGAGAGGAGACCCAGACGCCAGCTAGACTAGCCTTAACTCTGCCAAGATGCCCCACCAGGGCATCAGTGGAGAGAGGAAACATCTGCAGTGGGCCACTCTGGGATGATCTGTCCACAAGGAAAGTTCCTTCTGAGTCACCCATTAGTGAGGGTTTGGTTTATTCCCCACAGATGGGCTATTACAGACGTAGGGAGTTCCTCCCACCATACAGCCCCAGGAATCGTTGCGATAGGGGCCTAATTCTGCTCTGGATTATGCTGCTGCAGTCCAGTGGATATCTTGAGCTTTACACCAGGGTAAGGGAGCTTCATAGTCTCCGTGCCTGCTCTCTTCTCTGTAGCAAGAGCTGATGCTTCAGACCCCCCTCCCCCCTGCACCGCCAGGGCCTTGTTGTCAGCACATAATGAAAGGTGAAGGCAACAAAGTGCCAGTGGAGCAAGCCAAGCACTTGCAGCTGGGTAATTACCAGCCAAGGCTGGGCTCGCGATGCTGTGCACTGAACCCTGGCGCAGCTCAGCCACTAGACGACTCAGGAAAGGGCAAGGGAGGGGGACAACCAAGTAAATGCTTAGATACCACAGCTAAATGTTAATGTCTCATAATGAGGGGCCCCCCGTGCCAGCTTCCATCAAGGACTTGGCGATCCCACTTTGATGAAAGTGCTGCAAACACGTCACTGCCCTTTCAGCCAGCTGCGATGAGCCAGGAAATGCTGGCCCGGGAAATTGGGGAGGAGGAGGAGGAGGCTGAAAGGGATCACTGAGTTAGGGAAGAGGAGGATAACGAGCAACTGCAGCAGTGCTCAAATGGTAGCTAAGCATGCCGCATACTATCAACTTTAGAGTTTGGCTTCCTCACAGCAGCCTGTAGAGATGGGTCAGAAGTATCTCCAGAGGAAAAGTATGCTCTGTGTGTTTTTCTCATAAGAAACAAGATCTCTCCTGGTACAGGAGAAATATCTCAGTATGCCAGGAAGCAATTTACTGTTGGAGATGAGGAACACCTGCCAACCTGCCTTCCTCTTTGTACTTCCTTCCACTCCTATATGGAGGATTTGCCATACCAATGAACATTCAAATCACTTCAGAAACAAGCACAAATCCATTTCCTGTTCTCCAAGTATTTTCTACTTTCCTCAGGAGTTCCTCCTTTCTTATGGGCTGAAGTGTTTTGTTGAAGGCTCTACTTTCTAACTGAATCAGCCCAATAGCAATTTTTTGAAACTGTGAATATTCAGACACTGACTCACATGGAGTGTCTGTTTTGGGAGATGCAACACCCTTTTTTCCTGCTTAGGGACAGCCTCTAGCTGCCCAGCACTAGGGTGAGAGGCAATAGCACAAGTTGCAACAAGGGAAATCCCAGTTAGCTATTGGGAAATCATGTGGACAGTCAAACACTGAAACAAGGCCCAGAGAGGCTGCTGAATCTCCTTTCTTGCAGATTTTCAAAACTCACTTTGACAAGGCCCTGGGCAACTGGATCACACACAGGGTTGGACCAAGGACCTCCAAAGGTCCTTTCCAACCTGAATTACTCTGTGATTTTTTATCAACACAGTCACAGATAAGGACTCCACTGCGCTAGTGTATCTATTTCCAACAGTTACCAGAGAGACAATTCAAAAGTCCCAGGAAATAGTTGCAAGTTCTGAGCTCAAACAAGAAAAAATAAAAGCTCAAAGAATTTGAGGCCAAGAAGATTCATTTTCAGGTGTGCCCACATCTATGCAGACATGCAGCAAGTCATCAAAAATCACAAAACAGCACACCTATTTAGAAGAAAAAAGATGAGCCTGAAACCACCCTGACCATCTGTTAGCGTCTTGTTACGCTGCAAAGTACACACCTCAGACCTCAGAAATAAGAAATTACTTTTTGACTTTCTCTAGAAGGGGAAACGCTCAGGTACCACTCATAGAGTCATGCTGTGATGATTTTCTTTCTTAGTAAGATTCAGATCAAACGTGGTTTTAATCAACAACAACAAAAATTCATCAATGTAAAAACATTAGACCTATCCTTCGGTCAAAAAGGAATGTTTATAAGTTGTCTCCTTAGAATAACCATTTTTAGAGACATGCAACCATTATGCCTTAAATTGATCTTCAGATGAAAAACGTCTGAAAATGTTAAATGCATTTGCATATCACAGAATTTTTTCCCCCAAACTTTCAGTACCAACAAGAATATTAACTTCAAAAAAATTATGATGAAGAGTGCCAGATGGTCCTTCATTTCCTCCACACAGATACAGCTTAATGGCCTTTAACTTTCTGCACCACATGTGGGGAAAAAACTCAACGAAAGATCAAGATGTATTATTTCATATTCAGCAAGATTCCCACTTTCCAGTGGGGCCAGATTTCAAGGCCCTCTTTCTGCTGCAAACATGCATCTTATAGATTTTACTGCTGGTCTTTTCCCCTGCCCCCAAAAATGGGAAAATAAGTCCTTTCTTGGTATAGAACCCAACAAAGAACTCCTAAGAAGTGGGGTGTTGGAGGATCACTTACCCATATACATCTTCATCAGAGCACCTACACATCTAACAGGTGTTTTTACAGTAGAGGAAGGCGTGGCATACAGTAATGACTTCAAATATCCTCCAGGTTCTGGCTGAAAACTGATTCAGTTTCTCCTGAATCCCTTCACACTTCACAGAACCCCTTTTGTTTGAACCTGGTGCTTCAATTCACTCCATTAAAAGGAAACAAAAAAAGAGAGGGAGGGAGAGAGAGAGAACACACCACACGCAAGTTCTGATCTGCAGCTTTTTTTTTTTTGTCCCTGTATTTGTACACATAGTAGGAAAGAGACTGGGGCTGTGCTTCCATTCAGACTCATTTCAGTTGTAGTAAAAATTGTGCAAAGTAAACTGAGAAAGGATAGATAGAGGAAATGTTTTAAGCTGGATCCAGGGGAGTAGAGGAAATTCATAAGTCATGTAGGGGCTTTCTCTATAGGTAAGCCTGGTTTCAGGCACACTCTCTGCCACTTGGGCCAGTAAGACTTTACATTTTAACTAATGCAAGTCCCTTGTCATACTGTTAGGATGTGGATTTCCTTTCTTCCCCAAATCACAATCTTCCCTCTCACAGGTTACTAATGCCTTATTATCATGTTAAGTAATTACACTTAGTTCTTACACAGTATGTTTTTATGAGATTCCCTGCCCCTCTGATTTTGTACTCCACTGTGACAAAGGAGCCAGATGAATGTATAGTGAATACAACTTACTTCCTATCTCACTCTGTACTTTTCTCACAATTATTTTTCTCCAGAGGTAAAGGAATGGTTTAGTGATCAACCCAAGGAACGCTGAGCCAAGGTAACTGATATAAATAGGTAGCACCAAGACAGCAGGCTGCTGAGACCTTCAAATTCACAGTAACAAAATGATGCTGCGTTGCCTACATGTAAAACGCTCCTGTTACTCCCAGCTAGAAGAGAGAACTGTTTCCTCCCTCCTCCTCCTTGGGAGGATGAAAACAGATCAGAACCTCAAACCAATCCTTGCTCTGGCAGGAACTCAAAAGGTAGACTTGGGAGGGGTTGGAGGAAGATATAAAGGCTGGTAGCTGGAGACACAGAGCAACACTGAACCGGAGAGACTCAAGGGGAGGAGGAATCAGAGACACCACAACACAAAGATGAACCCAAAACTTCTTTTCTGCCCTGTATTCCTCCTGCTGCTTGTTGTCAGTCAGAACCAAGCAAGGGCCAGGTCCATTTCCAGCCTACAGGTAAGTGACTGGCTGCTCAATAGAACTGAAAGAAGCTCATGCTTCTTTAGGATTTTGATACTTCAGATTAGTTACATTTCTTCCAAACTCAGCTAGTGTAGTAGGAGACACTCAAGAGACCATGACAGCAGGGATCCTGAAGTGGGCAGGCATAAGGTTATCAAATGGAGGGAAATAAAGTAACTGACTGCTGGATTTAAATCTCTAATCACACTAGGTAATTGAAAGGAAAATGTTTTTTCTGTGGGGTCAGTTAAGGGGCTGCAGGTTTAGGGTCACTCTGTGACTGAGTGAAGCAATAAACTTTTGGAGTAAAAGGAATATGCCTGGAAGGACTCTTACCTGCAGCCCTGCAGTGGTTACCTGCATGCTCCTCTCTTGAGTCCCTAGTTTACCCTGCAAATGGAATTAATGGGTTGTACCTATAGGAACATAAGGGGGATCTCCTCCCAGCTCAGTGGTGCAGTAGGGAATGCAGTCCCTGCTTGAGAGTCCCAGAGGCAGAGCAT